ATTAAACTGAAATTTAAATAGCTAGCTGTGGCTAGTGGCTATTATACTGAACAGAACTAGAGAGGAATAAGTTAACCACCACAAAAAACAATCACCAATGTACATAGTACAAACCCAGCAGCCTGGATTTTTCAGAAAGTCAATTCCACCTTTTTATTTAATTCGTCATAGGGCACAAGCACTCTCCAGAAAGAGAGAAAGTAAGACAGCACTCCCAGTGAAGGCTGGCCATACGGCAATTCCTTCTCCATTTTTCCTTCCTTTTGGGATTTTGGGCATGCATGTGCACACCCACTGATATATTTCTCAAGCCACCAAGTCTGGGACTGTAACGATGTAGTCAGCTATAAGGGATCCAGCTGCCTTAACCACTATGCCACAGGCTTATCCAATCAGTTCCTTTTTTATTTAAAGTAAGGCCTAGGGAGACCAGCAGATGGCATAGTGGTTACATCACTGGACTCCCACATGGCCAACCTCAGTCCAAGTCCCAGACCTGGTGGTTTAAAAATCATGACAGGCTGGGAACCAGCAGTTAGCGTAATGTCGCTGGACTCCCACGTAGTCGACCGCGGTTCGTGTCCCGGACCCAAAGTCATGGCTTGAGACCAGCAGTTAGCATAATGGCTATGTCGCTGGACTCCCACTTAGTCGACGGCAGTTCGCGTCCTGGACCCGATGGCTTAAGACTCATGCCAGGCGCGTGTGCGTGTGTGCCCAAGAACCCGAGAGGAGAATGGAGGAGACGGGATTGCAGCGTGGCTATCCTCCCTGGGGGGTGATTTCTCACTTTCTGTCTCTGCGTCTCTCTCTGTCTGGCGAGCACATGCGCCCTATAGCAAAAAGCTCTCCAAAAAAAAAAGCCCAGCTGCAATAGTGTGAGTTGGTTGCTGCTGCTGCTGTGCAGGGTAAGGCCACTTGAGAAGTCAGGGTTTGATTCCAGGACCACTGGAAAAAGCCTGACAACGTGACATATGCCTATAATCTCAGCTACTTAGTAGCCTGTGGCAGGAGGATCAAGAACTCACAGACACTTCAGGCAACACAGTGAGTCCCTATCTGGAAGAGTAGGTCATGGTGGCATAAGTCGGTCTAAAAAAATATAAGTAGAATATCCTTTTTTTTATTAACTTAAAGAAATCTAATATTCAAATATAAGATATGACTTTGGGACCAGCAGATGGCATAATGGTTATGGTGCTAGACTCCCATGTAGTCGGCTGAGGTTTGAGTCCTGGGCCTGGCGGTTTAAAATACATCAGTGCATGTGCGTGCGTGCCCAAGATCCCAAGAGGAGAATGAAGGAGAAAGGATTGTGATGTGGCCATCCCCCTTGGGGGATGATTTCTCACTTTCTGTCTCTCCAGCGAACACACGTGCCCTATAGCAAAAAATCTCTCTAAAATAAAAAGATATGAAACTTGGAGCCAGCCCCACAGCCAGCTGAAGGCAGTGGGATTCTATGTGGTTGACCAAAGTTCAAGGTGGTTCAAGTCCTGGCCACTGGCAGTTTGAAAAACACACCGGACACATGTGTGCATGTGCATACATGCCCAAAATCTCAACAGGAAGGAGAAATAGAAGACTGCAGTGTGACCACACCCCGTTGGGGAGCACTTTCTCTCTTCCTTTGTCACTTTCTCTCTCTGCCAAGCACACGTCCTCTGGCAAAAAAGGGGGAAAAAAAAAGAAACCAGGAAAAAAGTTGGAGAAATCAGAATATGATTTGAATAATAGATACTATGGAACAATTCATTTTTTAAGTATAATAATTTTACTAGTCACATAGGGGAGTGCCCTTATTATTAGGAGTTGCCTGCTGAAATATTCAGAGAATAAAGTGTCATGATAATGTTACCACTTAACTTTATTAAGTGCTTCAGAAAAAGGTCTATGACTATTTCACTTTTTAGAGAAAGAGAAAAGGAAGAAGGGAAAAAAGAAAGAGAAAAAGGCAAAATGTTAGCAATTGTTCAATCTAGGTTAAGAGTATACTGTGGGACCAGCAGTTGGCATAATGACTACATCGCTGGACTCCCATGTAGTCAGCTGTGGTTCGAGTCCCAGACCCGGTGGCTTAAATTCATGCTGGGTGCGTGTGCCCCCAAGATCCTAGGAGAATGGAGGAGAAGGGATTGTGGCATGGCCATCCCCCCTGGAGGAGCGATTTCTCACTTTCTGTCTCTGTCTTTTTGGTGAGCGCACACACGCTATAGCAAAAACCTCTCCAAAAAAAAAGAACAAGCCCAGATTTAATCTACTTGTCTTCCAGAATGAAGTGCTAAGATTTGATATAGACAGTCTGGCACTTTGTATAAGAACCACAGAACAGAGGACCAGCAGGTGGCATAATGGTTACATCATTGGATGTAACCCTTGTGGTCAAACGCAGTTCCAGTCCCGGACCAGGTGGCTTAAAACTCACGCTGGGCATGTGTGCACGTATGCCTAAGATCCCAAGAGGAGTATGGAGGAAAAGGGATTACAGTGTTGCCACCCCCGACCCTGGGGGGATCATTTCTCATTTCTTGTTTCTCTCTGTCTCTCTGGTAAGCACACGTGCCCTATAGCGAAAAAGACTCTCTTAAAAAAAAAAAAAATTGGGGCCGGCAGGAGGCATTGTGGTTAAAGTGCTGGACTCCCCCATGGATGATTGCAGTTATAGTCTTGGCTTGCTTTCTCTCGTGCTCTCTCTGATCAAATTGAAAATAATAAATATTTTAAAATTAAAAAAAAAATTAAAAAAAAAAGAATCAATGATCTGTCTATTCAGTTCCCCTCCTTACTCATATAGACTTCTGTGTTCTTTTTCCATCTTTGCCCAAGAAAACTGACTAAATTATTATTATTTTTAAATTAGGTTGCTATACTCCCACATGGCCAACCATGGTTCAAGTCGCAGACCTGGTGGATAGAGGGAAAGTGAGAAAGCAAGCTACCAGGTCCAGGACTCAAACCATAGTTGACCATGTGGGAGTGTCCAGTGCCTTGACCACCATGCCACCTGCCAGTTCCTATTGACTAAATTTTTCAAACATAATAACGTTACTTTATTTAGGAGATAATCAAATACAATACAGGACTGACACTAACAAATTACTATGCATAAAATTATATAAATCTGCTTGCTACATTTCCCAGAAGTGGTCCAGTCACTGTAAACAAGGAAGAGAAACCAGGAGGGTGCCTAAGCAATGCAGTGTTGAGGCAAGTGTCCCGGCATGCCTGCAGTGAATGGTCCCCGGCAGAGGCAGTTCTCTCGGCAGTGGCTGTGAGAAGCCCTGCTTCCCCGCTGGCAGCACTCAGTGGTAGGCCTTGTTAAATTCCTGGAGGGCCCAGCGCTTGTTCTCAGCTGCCTGCTTGAGCTGTGTGTACTCTTTTACCAGCCTGTCAAACTCCTCCCCAAGGACCTCGTAGGTGTTCAGGGCCTGTTGCGACTTCTCCATGTCCTGCTCTTGTAGGCGAATGGCTCCCTCCAAACGGTCCCTAAGAGCCCAGACAGAGAAAGTTCAATATAAGGATGTCAACTCTCAGAAAAACGACAAGAAGGCTGATCCCATGGCCTAGTGGTTAAGGGAGCCAGATCTTACATGGCCGACAGCGTAGTTCCAATCCCAGACCTGGCAGCTTGAAAAATGCACTGGGCCATGGGAGAAAGTGCCCCAAATCCCAACAGGATAGAGAAACTAAGGAGAATGGATTGTGGCATGACCTCTCTTCCTCTGACGAGTGTTCACATCCTTTGGCAAACTAGAAAGGGCAAGAGGGCAGCCAGTGGTGTGGTGGTTAGAGCGGCTAGATCCCTCATGGCCAACTGCTTGGTTCAAGTGCCAGACCTGGCAGCTTGAAGAACACAGTGAGCCAATGTATGTGTGCGTGTGTGTGTGTGTGTGTTTGTGTGTGTCCAAAATCTCAAAAGAAGAATGGGAAGAGAAGAGACTGCAGAGAGGCCGTCTCCCATAGAGGTGGGGGGATGCTTTCTGACTTTCCCTCTCTCTCTGTCTCCAGTGTGCATAGGCACCCTCCAGCAACATTTTTTTTTTTTTCAAAAGGAAGTAGACAAGAATAGGAACATGTTCAAATGGATGAGTCTGGAGAGTGTGGGAACCATCTGTGACTAGCCGTCCCAGGCTCTTGGGAACTCTCACCTAATGAGACGATGAACTTCCACTTTCTCAGCCGTGTAAGTGTCAGACAAAATCTTGAGCTCCTCCATCCTGACAAAGGGAAGAAAGAAATGTTAAGTGGAAGATCCCTGACCGTGTCAGTGAAGTTAGGAATGGACACAGTACCTGCCCCGGTCAAGGTGGGCTATACAGTGATGGGACAGACGAGGTGGATCTGAATTCCCGAGCAGTGGGTCTAATAGCAAAGCACCTATGTCAGAGGCTGTAAAACTCTAGGGAACAGCAGATGGCATAATGGTTACGTTGCTGGACTCCCATACAGTCAACCACAGTTCGAGTCTCGGACCTAGCGGCTTAAAACTCACACTGGCATGTGTGTATGTGTGCCCAAAATCCCGCGAGTAAAACAGAGGAGAAGGGACTCAAGAATGTTGGAAGCTTTTGGTTGATCCAAAGGCCAACACAGGTGTGTGGCATTTTGTAATCACCTACGAGGTGCCAGTCATGGTGGAGAGGAAGGTGAGGGTGGCGTTTGAGAGACCCACAGGCTCATGGCTCACCTCAGCTTAAGGATCATGGCACTGCACTTGATCTCCAGGTACTGGGCATTGATGCGGTCTAGTTCAGACTGAGTCTTCAGCCGGTGCTCCTGAAGAAGCCTCTGCAGCAAGGCAAGGCAGCGGAGAAGCACCTAAGGCCCCGGAGGAAATAAGAAGAGGGCATAAGCAAAGGCAGTAGGGAAGGGGGTGGCTCAGAACTTCCCTAAAGGTGCTCCAGGGTTGGGCAAAGGAGGCCAGAGGTTGTCCCGCAGCCCTGGCAGACCTGGGAGTAGGTGGCACTTTTCTTCTCCAGCAGCACCATCTGCTCCTTCTGCTGGTTTCTGGCAGCCTGGCACTGCTGCTTCTCACCCACCAGGACCTCTGCCAGTTTCCACACCTTTGCTGCCTTGAGAGTTTCGCTGTCGGCATCTGGGCAAAGACACAGAGGACTGACAGGAAAACCCTAATTGCTGGGGCCAACAGGTGGCATGGAGGTTAAGGTACTGGACACTCCCACATGGCTGACCATGGTTCAAGTCCTGGACCTGGTGGCTTGCTTCTCATTTTCTCACTCTCTGGTCAAATTAAAATAAATAAAATAAATTAAAAACAAACAAACAACAAATAAAAACACCCTAATTGCTACCACTCCTCTAGGACTATTTTTCAGAACCCCTCTCCTATATCTAGCCTTAAAATTTCTGCCTTATTCCAGTTTTTCTTCTGATGTTCTATTAAAAATGGTCTGGTGGAGCCAGCAGGTGGTGTGGTGGTTAAGGGCGCTGGACTCCCACATGGCCAACCGTGGTTCAAGTTCCAGACCCGGCAGCTTGCTTTCTCATGTTCCTCCTCCCTCTCTCTCTCCTTTTTTTTTTTTTGAGAAAAAAAGAGACAGAGAGACAGAAAGCGAGAAATCATCCCCTAGGGGGGATGGCCACACCGCAATCCTTTCTCCTCCATTCTCCTCTCAGGATCTTGGGCACGCATGCACATACACCCAGCGTGAGTTTAGGCCACCAGGTCTGGGACTTGAACCACGGTCAACTACATGGGAGTCTAGCGACATAGCCATTACGCCAACTGCTGGTCCCAGCAAAAGTCCTTCTTTTTATTCCACCAGAAAGGAAATAAATCAGCATCTCTGACACTTCTAAGCTGCTGTCCCCAATCTAAAATTTAATAACATTCTTCTTTTTGTTCTTTATTCACGATAGAGTGTGTGTGCATGCACAAGAGAGAAAAAAAAAAAGAAAGAAGAAAGAGAGACAGAGGAGCACCCTTCACAGGGTCTGGTCACACTGGGTGTCCTTTACCTGGTCCTCCAGCCCATCAGGCGCTCACATGTGCCTGGTACGTTTCAGGCTGACCAGGCCAGGGCCTCGAACCACAGTAATCAATGTGGAATCCAGCTTCTCTTGAGCAGCACATTGTCCTTGTGCCCTTGGATTCATTATTCTTTCTTTCTTTTTCTTTTTTTTTCTTTTTTTTTTTTTTTTAGGTTTTTGCCATCTGGCACATGTACTCGCCAGAGAGAGAGACAGAGAGACAAAGAGAGAAGAAAGGTGAGAAATCACCCTTTGGGGGGATAGCCACACTGTAATCCATTCTCCTCCTGGGATTTTGGGAATACACACAAACATGAACACATATCCCATGAGATTTTTAAGCTGCCAGGAATCAAACTGCAGTCAGCCATGTGGGAGTCCAGTACCTTAACCACTATGCCACCTGCTAGCCCCAGATTCATTCTTTTTTTTTTTTTGCTATAGGGAACGTGAGCTCACCAGAGAGACAGAACGAGATAGAGAGACAGAAAGTGAGAAATCACCCCCTGGAGGGGATGGCCATGCTGCAATCTCTTCTCTATTCTCTTCTCAGAATTTTGAACATGTACGCACATGCACCCCACGTGAGTTTGAAACCACCAGGTCTGGGACTCGAACCATGGTCAGCCACATGGGAGTCTAGCAACCTAACTATTATGCTATCTGCCGGTCCCCCAGATTCATTATTATTATTTTTTAGAATTATTTATTTAATTCCACTTGTTATTATTATTATTATTATCATTATTATTAATTTGACCAGACAGAGACAGACAGAGAGAGAAAGAGAAAGTAAGAAAGTAAGCTTCCAGGTCTGGGATTCAAACCGCGGACAGCCATGTGGGAATCCAGCACCTTTAACCACCACTCCACTTACTGGCCCCCCAGATTTATTCTTTTTTTAAATAATTATTTATTTTATTTTTTTATCCATTCATTCATCTATTTTTTAATTTGACCAGAGAGAGACAGAGGGTGAGAGTGAGAGAGAGAAGAAGTGAGAAAGCAAGCCACCAGATTCAGGACTCGAACCCTGGTCGGCCACGTGGGAGTGTCCAGCACCTTAACCACCACGCCACCTGCTGGTCCCCTAGATTCATTATTTTTAAAAGAGCAGCCCTAAAGGCCAACTGAGAGCAAAACACAGGGAGCCACACTCACGTGAACTGGGATCGTGGTAGCAAAGCAGAGCGAAACATTTCCTCTTGAGCTGCTCCTCCACTTCTAGCTGGAGCCGAGCTCTCATCCACACAAAATCCTATAGCCACAGAAGCCAACAGAGAGCTGTGTACAGGTGGTAGAGTTGGGGAACCCAGCCAATGAGCATACAGTGATAACGATCTCAATAGTAACCAAAAAAAATGCATCAACAGGCATCAGAGAGATTCATTTTCAGTCTATCAAACTAGCAAAGAATAAAATGACCATCAAAATCCCACACTGGTGAAAATGTGGAGAGCTAGGAGTACTGGAAATACCTTTCTGGAGAGCAGTTTGGCAATATATACCAATACATGGGGTTTTATGCATGGATTTCAACATTTTTTTGTACAAAAATAAACTCATACTTTAATTCCATTTTCCTTTTCTTTTTTCTTTTTATTATTTTTGCCTAGGGTACATGCAATTTCCAGAGAAAGACAGAGACAGTGAAAGGAAAAGTAAGAAATCACCCCCAAGGGAGTATGGCCACACCACAATCACTTCTCCTTTTGGGATTTTGGGCACATACACACATGTGCCTGGCATGATTTTCAAGCCCCCCAGTCCGGACTCCAACCACAGTTGGTTATGGCATTCCATTACTATAACTACTATGCTACATACTGGCTCCTGACTCCATTTTATTTTATTTTTTAAGAATTATTTACTTATATTACTATTCTTCAATTTGACCAGAGAGAGAGAGGAGAGTGAGAAAGCAAGCCACCAGGTCTTAGACTTGAATTATGGTCGGCTATGTGGGAATCCAACCCCTTAGCCAACAGACCACCTGCCAGCTCCCGCAATTCCATTTTTCTTTTTTTTTTTTCTTTTTAGAGAGATTTTTGTTATAGGGTATGTGTGCTCGCTAGAGAAACAGAGATAGAAAGCAAGAAATCATGCCCCCCAGGGGGGATGGCCACACCATAACCTATTCTCCTTGGGATTTGGGGCAGGCATGCATACGTACACGCCCAATGTGTTTCAAGCTGCTGGGTCTGAAACTCAAATCACGGTCAAACACATGGGAGTCCAGCGGTATGATATGCCATCTGCTAGTCCTAAGGCTCGCAAAAAATTTTAAAGATATGAGAGAAAGGGGCCAACAGATAGCATGGTGGTTAAGGTGCTGGATTCCCAAATGGCCGACCACAGTTCAAGTCTCAGACCTGGTGGCTTGCTTTTTCATTTTCCTTCTCTCTCTCTCTGGTGAGTACACGTGCTCTACAGAAAATTTTAAAACAATAATAAAAAATAAATAATTATTTTAAAATATTAGATAAATTAAGCCATTTGCTGCTTTGGTGCCAAGATTTGCCCACCACTCACCTCTGAGGGTGGCATGAGCTCCAGAAGGTCTGCTTTCTCCAGCCCTAGCAGTGGAGGCATCTCCGTCTCCTGGCTAGGACCTAGGAGCCGTGTCAGTTCAGTCACAAGTAGCCGTTGTTCAAGGGTATCATGAAACTGAGAGAATCAAAAACAAAGAGGTGATTATAAAACCTTTCCTACTCTACCTCTTCCATTCTCATGAACTAGTTCCTCACACATTTTCAAAGTCCTCAGAAGTGCTGTCCCCTTAGATAACTCCTCAACTGCCAAGTGTCTTCTCCTGTTAGTCTTTCCATTTCAAAGCCCTGACAACACACCCACTCCTTCTCCCATAATTATAGTCCTTCTCTCTCTCTCTCTCTCTCTCTCTGGTTTGTTATAGGGTGCATGCACACACCAGAGAGAGAAAGAGAAAGAGAGAGAACGCACCCCTCCCCCCAAGGGAGGATGGCCATGCTGCAATCCTTTCACCATTCTCCTCTTGGGATTCTGGGCACACACATATGCGCCCGCATATTTTTCAACCGCCGGGTCCAGGATTTCAACTGTGCAGCCGCTATGTGGAATCAGCTGCCTTAACCTCCACGCCACCTGTTAGCCCCAGTCCATCTCCTTCTTAATAACCCATTACTCAAAGCTCCTATTTCCCCTAGATCTCGTACTCAGACAAAAATCAGTTAGCCTGGACATTCCTATGGCCAGTAACAGACCTATACCCCATCTCTCGTGCCTCACCTTTTTGTCCTCAGGAGTTAAATTTGTGTCTTGTGTCTTTACGTAGTAGTCCACAAGCAGCTCTTGAATGGCTCTCTGTAAAACCTCAGACCTCAACCATGTTGTTTTATGTAGTCGAACCTCCTTCCATGCCTAGAAAGAAAACAAAAAATTCACAGGCAGGAACCACTCTCTCAGGAGGCTTTTTGCTTCTCCCATCATCCCTTCTCCCAGGACTCTTACCTGAGCCTGCTCCTTTGCCAGGGTGAGGCTTAAGCCACTCCCATCCACATGCTGGGAGAGAGCCAGCAGCAGTTTGCTGAAGTGTGGGTTCTCTGACAGATCCTCTTCACTCAGGTTACAAGGAGGAAGCTGCTGGCTGCACACTTAATGGCATGTCCCCCACAGGGCAAAAAGCAAAAAAGGAACGGACTCTTTAATCAGCCAAGCATAACTTAACACTCACTTCCATGACAACACAAATAAAACTATGTTT